CTATATATATATAAAATTGAAACAATTTTCATTGTCTTTGATAATATATTTCCGGACAAAAATAATAATACATTCTATGATTTTTAATATTGATTAATGCAATTTATCAAAATTTTAAATATATATCTATATAAAATATTTATTTCTTTTTTTAATAATAGAAGAAGATCAAATATTTTCTTTCATAAATTTTATTCATTTATACGAAAAATAATATATGGTATTACGAAATATTAAATTAATGAATTTTTTTTTATTTGACAATGTTAATTTGAATGTTTATTTGAAAATGTTTTTTGACATATTTTTTTTATTTGAGAATGTTTTTTAAATATTTTTCTAAACTTTTGACTGAATCTTTTTTTTCGTTTGCTATTATTTTATCCGATTTATTTTTCACATAAATGGATAAAATTTATAAAAGAAAATGTCTGTTTGATTTTTCTCTTTATTATTTAAGAAAAAGGATATGAATATATATTTAAAATTTTGATTGTATTAATATCGAAAAATATAAAATGTAATATCATTTTGCTCAAGAGTATACTTATTCATTATATTCATAACTTATTATGAATTGAACCCAAATACAAATAATTTATTTTATTTACAAAAAAATTGTCTCTCATTCTATATATATATTTTTTAAAATTATATTTCGAACTATTTCATGCTAAATTACTTCTATCACAATGTCGGGAATTTTATTAAAATTAAATATATTATAGTTCATATGAAAATGAAAGATATTTAATTCATTTCATTTTTCTAATTTTTAAATTAAAAATAGATCTTTAAATTGACAATTTTTATAAATTTGTAGAAAAATTATTTTTATAAAAGAATTTTTATCTCTACAATTATTTAACGTAAAGATTTTTTCTTCTTTTTATTTAAAAAAATTAATCTTAATTTTTTATTTGATTAATAAAATTATTATTTTTGATGCAAAAATATTAAAAATATTTTAATATTTAATAGATATAAAATTATGGCTATTTCTGATATTTATTATATACTATACTATAATTTTAAAATGATTTTCTAAAAAAAGAATAAATTTTTTGTTTTTTTTTATAACAAAATATAATTTTTTAATATTACTTATTAATATTATAGTTCAAATAATTTTTTTTATAGAATTAGATTGATTTTTATACATTTCAATCATACATTTACAATCTATGTATATTGGCATGTACAACGTTTCTTATATTATATAATAATTATATCATAATTTTACTAATTGTATCTCTTAGTAACAACAATTGTAAAAAAAAGCTAAACAACAAAATTGCTATTAAAAATTTTCTTTATTATATTTTAACTTATTAATTTTAATTTTTTATTTCAATTTTTTATTTTAATATTTTTAATATTTATTGAAATTTTATCAAAATGTTTGTTCAAATATAAAACTCATTCTCGT